CTCTTCTCCCACCCAAACCACCCCCACCCTCACCCACTGTATATTTATGTCATTGCAATCTGAAAATGTAGTGTGGTTGTTCAAAAACAGGGTAAAAGAAATGCTTTTCCAAAGTGCTGTATTACTTATATCTATATGAGTTTAACAAGGTTTCTTGGTGACTAGTGATATGGAGGCAGCAGAGGTATTCTCTATATCTGTGTGTTTGAAGTAATGTGAAAAGCAGTACTGTGTTATAGTTGGTTTTAACAGCTAAGAACAGCTGCAATACTGTATAAAGCTACCTGCAATACTGTATAAATATGCAGGCATTCTCACATTTATTAATTTGATCTTTCAGAAAAGGAACTTTCTGAAGGGTCCCGTGTGCTTTAATGATTTACACAGAAAAAAACCCTTGTCTCTCACTAGGTAAAAGGAGAAAAAATATACCCTTAATGAGCTGGTTTTTTTAATGTTGACGTGTTGAAACTTTTAACTTTTTTGGTGCTGAAAGCTTTCCTAACATGACTTTATAACAGCTTGCCCTGTTCCCCGTAACTTGCATCCCTTCTTTAAAATGTAAGCTACCATATTTACCACAAAGTAACCATGAACATGGGAAATTACTGTAGACTGGGTGACAAGCTGGAAGTTCATATCCCAACCTCACTTCCTAAGAGCTTATTTGTGTGCCCATATGCTAACAATCATTAAAAGGGAATATGGGAGAGGAACATAAGGGTCCAATGTTCACAAGTGATGACCACCCACAGTTCTACTTGAAATCCAATAGTAGTTCATCACCTGTGAAATTGACCCTTGTGTACCTGTACTGATGAGCACAGCAGAGTTGACACACAATGATGCTAGACATACGTCAGCCTCTGCTCTCCCCCTCCCACCCCACATGATGCCTCTTACTGCAGGTCTAACTCTCATATCCTGCTGCCACTGACTGCCTCACTATTGGCTGGGTAAACTGCTTCTCTTTGGATGGGATGGGATACCTTAGTGAATTAGCACTAACCTCTGTGACAACTTGCTCCAGAGTTTGCTCCCATTTCTCGGGGAGTAGGCAGTGGGAAGACACCTGTTTCCTCCTTTTTCCCAGCCTGGCTTATACCTGGCTCAGAGTCCCAGTTCTTACAGTGTTATTGTGAATGGGCTTCACCCAAGAAAAGGACAGCAGTTTGCTCAGGTGTTCTAACACTGTTGTCTTTCTTCTTACTATTATTTTTTTTTGCAAAAGGGAGGGACCTCTGGACAATAAGTATTTAGCAGGGATAATAGTTTACCGTGGGAAGTGCTGTGGTGGAAGGTAGAAGTGTTTCTTGGTTATATCAGACAGTATTGTGCCCTCTTCTCTCTTGCACAGTTGCCTATTGATCATGGCTCAGACACCATGAGCATAGTGTAATAATTTAGATAATTGTCTACCTTTTACTTGGGGCTACAAAAACAAGTAACTAGTATTTTGTCAGCAGTGAAGATAGGGAATCTTAGTGATACTGAAGGAAAAGGCAGACAAGAAATTGTGGGAGGAAAGCTTTCTCTACCTAAATCAACTAGGGGTTCTTTCAAAGTTAGTTATGTTTTTTTCTCTCTAATAATGGCAGGTTGTTTTAATTTCTGGAGATCCCAGTGTCAAAAAACCCTGCATCTTAAAGTAGGACAGCACACATTGCAGCAGCATGAGCCACCAGAAACCAGAGCCTGGCCAGGCAGAGCCACACTCCAGCTGTCAGCCAGGGTCTGTGCTGCTGGATTGCTGTGGCTGTAGCCCCCAGAGGCCCTCAGGACCACAGGCAAGGCTGCTGGGGCCAGCCCAGGTGCTGGCCCAAGCCTCCGCTACCACACTAGGGGCAATGTGCTGCACATGTGCATGGGCTTTTCCTGTGGAGAAGCAGCAGTGGCATTTTGCCGCTGCTGTTTGTCCCCAGGGAACCACACATTACCATTTGTGAGGATGTGCCCAGTGTGTTCTAATTGATTCTACCTGGGACAGAGAGTTAAGACATTAAAAGTTCGAAATTTTTACCTGTGACCTTCAGCATGTCACTTAGCTGCTCCATTTCTCCACATATAGAAAGGAGTCTAAAGATACCTATTTCACAGGAGTGCTATGAGGGCTTACTTTACTACCCCAAAGTTTCTCATTCATGAATAACTTGCTGAAAGGAGTTCATCTCTTCTATGCTTTGTCTGATATTTCTCAAATTAACTGTAACTACTAACATAGAATAGCTGGAATATTTTTAGTCTGTATTATCTGACTTGCACATTTTTCTGTCCTCAAAGAACATGTACAATGTAAAATTTTGCTTTTCATAAAAATAATCTAAATTATGTGAACATTTCATAATGAATGGTAGGGAGAAAGGAGCCTTCACACAACCCTTCCCTTTTGCTATGCCCCATCCCCTTGAATAAAGAAACTTTACTTAGCCTAGCAAACCTGAATTTAAAAAGGGGATTATGCCCCTCAAAATACATTAGGACCTAATCATTAGGGAGAGATGAGGCATTTAAGAAAAAAGGCAATGTTGTCATAGGAATAAATTAGAATAAACTGGCTAGGATTAAAATTAGGCTGAGAATTAAAAGTCATTTAACTACCAGAGGAATGATGTTCTGAAACAACCTTCCAATGGGAGTAGTGGTGCTAAACAACCTAACTAGTTTTCAGGATGAAACTAGATTGATTCATAAAAGTAATTAAAGGTTGTTGATGGCTGTGACAGTGGGGACTAATGACCCAAAAGGATGCTTCCATTCTGATATTCATCTGAAAAAGTTAGGAACATACTACTTTAGATTTCTTCTTGAACTCTGTAACAAGAATTTTAATTAGTGTTTATTGATTTGGTAAGAGTTTTAAACAAGAAAAATCAGCTTTGGACACTAAAGAGATCATGCAAGGGGTATTCAAGAAGACAGAGTGCCTCTAAGCAGGTATAGGAAGATTCTTATTTTTTTCAATAATCTTATCTGGTGATTCCTTAGTCTACTTAAGAATGCTTTCTTGAACAAACCTCATTAGAAGATAAGGGCCAATTGTAGATAGTCTGGCAATTTGAATAAAATAAATTCAGAATATAGATAATATGGGATTAAAATAGGATTGCCTTATTTTAAAAATAACAGTAGATGGAAACACAGAGCAACTGGCTACAAAATATTAATTTAAAATAGAAATCAAATTTTTGATGTTTATGTAAAAACATAAAACATTTTCTGTTAGCCACATGCTATTCCAATTTAAAACAGTGGGGTGTTTTGGGGTGGGTGGAGGGGAGGAAATAGTGGCTTAATAGAAATATTCCCTAGGTTAAATCTGGCCACTTTTAGGAATTAGCTGAGCCCTTGGACATATCACCCAATCTTAAATATTGGTTCAGTTCCTTTCTGGGTTCGATCTCAGTCATTTTTACCTTGTGGTAAAATGAAAGTACCTTGTCTCCATTGTGTGTTACTTAACATTGCTGATGTGTTGGTTACCCCAAGGTAAACATGCACACCTTTTTAGGGATGAAGACAAACCCTGAGTCATCCTTACAAAGGATTCTACTCCCCACTTCAAGAAGCCTGTTGTTCTGTGGAGCAGGAGAGTGGGAGTGAGGCAATTTTTGAGTCATCTTCAATGGCTGAACTGGCATACGCTTCCTACCCATAAATAGGGATTGGCAAGAATCAGCAGTAGCAGGGAGCCTTGCAGTTGTTCCAGTTTTGTCTCTAACAGCATTTATTGCAGCCATCTGATGTTCATAACCATATACATTTATTTATGGTACAAAAGTGGAGTTGAAGTGTGGTACAGTTCTGAGATGGTCTCGTTTGCTTTCCCTTTTCTCCCCATCACATAGTGACTTCAGATATTACTCTGTGCACTTTAAAAAAAAGATTTGTAGATAGTTGGGATAGTCTTCAACACAGTTTTCAAATTTTGATTTAGCAGTTAAGCTTCTGCAGCTCTCTTAAAACACATACTTAAATGTTATGAAGAATTAATTGGCATGTATATATTTTGTCTATTGTCAAAGCTGCATAATATTGTACTGAATAATGCTAGAAGCAGAACTAGTCACTGATTATTCGACCTAATTAAGTCACCCACTTCTCCCCCCCCCTGCACTTGAGTTTACTTGTATGAGCTGCTAAACTCCTTTGAAAAAAACCCCTATGTATACATAAGATTTACCCACATAATCCACTTTCCTTTGAAAGTCAACTTTTAATTTGTCTGTTTTAACAAAGTATTTTATTTATCAATTAATTATAAGTTTTGTAGTAATAGGCTGGCTGGCAAGATTTTGGTTTTTGCTGTTTTTAAAGAGAAAAGACAATTTGATGGTGTGGGGGAAGGGAAATGAGTTGATGTCTATAGTGGATCTATAAACCAAATCTTAGTATGAGGATTAATTTAACGTGTGCCAGACATTCCTCTTATTTAGATATTGGCTAGTTCTGAATGTATCTGTGTCTGCGTGAGGCGAGGGAGTTTCCTGCTTTAAAGCACTAGCAGTCTCAGCCTGGGCGTTTTCAAGTTGAGCTTACTGCTTTCTTTCGTTTTTTTTTCCCCCTCAATGAGTGTCCTTTGTGTAACCTCAGTAATTCAGAAATTTCTCTGCGGTAATTGGAACTGTCCTGTCATGTGACTAAGCCAGCTAGGTGCAGCAGCGATTGGTCAGCAGCTAATTGGCGGTTCTCTATAAGAGCTCCCTCCACTAGAGATAGCCGAACCTTTATTCTGTGCCACTGCTGAGTTGCACTTAGGTTGTAACTCTGAGATTAGAGTGATTCAGCAACATGTGATAACACAGTTATCAGTGCTGTGGGTTTGGCTAAACCCTTGATAGACAATGAAGCCAACAGCAGCCAACTTGGATTAATGAGAGTCTCCCATGAACTGGTAACTGTCACTAGATTGTTTACTGATTAAGAGGAATGCAGTTCAAACTCTTTGCCAGGAACTTGTGTGGACTTATTTTCCTTTTTACTTCTTCTTTGTTTTGTCACAGGAAGTGCTGATAATTCCTTAGTTTGGAGAGTGACTGAAAAAAAATCATTCATACAGTCTGCAAAGGCACTTTTAATATTAGATTAGTCTAGCTGTGATGAAGGATTGTACATTAACAGGAGCTGCAGCAGCCTGTCACCAGGAAATACTGCTTTATTCAGAATGGGTAAGTGAAAAATGGCTTTGCTTACTAATGGATCTCATCTGGTCTGTGTTAGAATTATAAAATTGTTTGCAGATTCCTAATAGTGTAACTAAGTTAAATGGGAGAACATACAAACTTGGTTATTTGGTATAGTTAAACATAAATGTTTAAACAGTTTTGTAGGAGTAGAAGGGAATATTTAACTTTTTTTTCTTTTCTAGAGGGAAAAGTAATAAACCTTTTCAAACATTGTATTTAGGTGGAAGTGAGTTTAATGGATAGGCTTGTGATTTCTGCCTTTTATAGTATCCTTTTCAACAACAAAATCTTTGATCTTTAAGAAAGTATCTAAATACAAATTGTTTTAACATAACGTGTATAATACTTGATGGCTCTTGGCTAAAAAGGGAAGACCACTTTCTAATTAGCTTAGAAATGATATTAAACTATATTTCAATAGACAGTTTTTTGGTTTTAAGAACAAAACTAAAAGTTTGAGTGGATTGTTCAGTGTGATTTAAATGCAAGGAAAAACAACTTTTTTTCTTTTTATAGTAGTCATTGTTCCAGTTCAAAACACCTTTAAATTTGTCATGTGAACTGGAAGCATTATCTGGAAAATATCCAGTTAGACGGACAGAAAAACAGCTGTGCATGTAATAGTACATTGGTCAGCAAGCAAACTGTGTGATGTCTCCTCATATCTGTTTTGCACGCAACACTATTATTTATTTTTTATTTCCATTTCTACTGCGTTGTTAAGAGTAGTCTAATGGTAAACATGTAAAATTGCTTTGTGGTTGTTTTGTAGCTGTCACCATAAACTACTATTTTATTTTTCTCCAAGTGATTACCAAAATAAAAAGCAAGTTTAGGTTTTTGATTCTACTTCATGTTTTTCATACCTTCTTCATTTGTCTTCAAAAAATATTTGGTAATTTTATAATGCATGTCTTAGTTGTTCAGAGGCCTTTCTCTCTTCCCTAATACAATTTTCGGAAGCTCTTTGAACAATGCTTTTCATAAAAATAGAATTCAAGGTTGCTGTGTAGCTAAATTTATTGCACAAATGAGCAGGAAATGCCTAATAAGAAGAGCAATAAAAAATAGACTTTCAGATAAGCACATCTTTTAAAGGCAACCCCCAGCATTACAGCAAGAACATGATCCAATCTGACTTTGCAGTCCGACTCTTTTTCTTACCTAAGGTGTGGCCAGATGCCACCTGTGAAAATGCTACCTTTTAGCCTTAAGCAAACTGTGTTTAGAGATTTTTATAGTCTCTTAGTGTGGAAGGGGAAACGTGAAACATCTGTAGCTAAGAACATTTCACACACACATCTGCTAATTAATATTCCTTAGTTGTGCAGCAAATACAGAAGGTTCACATCTCTCTAGTATTTTTCTAGATAACTTGTGAATTTAAATATTTGAAGCCTGAAAAAATACCATTAATGGGCTTGTCTGTCTTTAACATAATGACCTAACCAGTGCCCCCACCACCATTGCTCACCCCTTTGGTTTCGCTCACCTGTTTCGAAATACTTGTGTGAGGTGAACACTGACTGAGTGATTCAAGCTCGGGCTGAAATATCAGGAACTAAATAAACATGTTCTTGTGGAATTCTGTTTAGATCATCTATGTTACTCTTATGCTTTGATTTGTATCATTCTGTTGACTGTTCCCAATGTATTTATATAAAAGCTTAAATTTGAAGTATGTACTCTCACCCATAATCACTTTATAATTTCTTTCTGCAGGTATGTGTTTATTGCAATTTTTTGTTGAAGTAATTTTAATAGAAATATTATACAGGCTTGCTGGTTTTCCAAAATTGTAGTAGAAAGAGAGGATCTAAAGTGAAAAGAATACTCATTAAAATAAGCTTTGCTGTATTTCTCGGTAAATGCACACAC